GCTCAGGCTGGTCTCGAACTACTGAGCTCAAACAATCCGCCCGCCTCGGCCTCCCAGAGTGCTAGGATTACAGGCGTGAGCCACTGCGCCCGGCCGGATACTTCTTCATTAATGGAAAACAATATTCACACTAAGTTCTTTGTACTGAAAGTGTGGTCTATGGACCAGCAGGATTAGCTATGTGGACACTTATTATAAATGCCCAATCTCAGGGCCTCCTGAATTGGAATTTGCATTTTGACAACACCCTGGGATGAGTTTGAGAGGTGCTGCACTCGGTTATTTATGGCAGCATTATCTGTAAAGATGTACGATTGGAAACAATCCAAATGGCACGCAAAGGAACACTGTGGAGCCAGGAAAAAAAAAAAAAGCAAAATCTATATGTACCAAATTAGAGGGATCTTCAAAATATATTACGTCAAAAAAGCAAGCTATCCAACTATCGATAATAGAATGCTACCCCTTTGAAAAGAAAGATATGGAATTGGAATTAGAATATATACAGATACACACACGTCGCTTATTTTTGCAAAAGATAAGCTGGAATGATAAACCTGCAGCTAATAAAATTGGAGTGAAAGGACTGCAGACAGTGGGTGTAAGATATCTCTGAGCATTTCTTCACGTTGCACTACTCCAAAAATAAAATTAAAAGTCACAACTGGTGGGGGGGCATGGTTTACTTCGGGCATCTACAAGGCAGAGGGGCAAGGGATGCTACCTAATTCTAGGACGGTCCTCCACAACCAAGAATTGTCTGGCTCGAACGTCAGTAGTATCGATATTGAGACACCCTGCTTAGGGTAAGGATGGAGAAGCCAATAAATAGCTTGAGGTTTCAAAAACTGAACTCACTTTAAAAACCTGGCTAGCATCCCCTCCACCCCTAGTCACTCCAGACCTTTCCGTTTCCAGAGTGCTCCATCTGAGATGGCAGTTTTCACATTCATTCGTATAGCCTGTCAATACCCTGGGGGTCTGATTCTCATGAGCCTGAAGAGTTTAAGTCTTTAAACACACACCATGACCGCATGGGCCTTGCTCATGTTCACTTCTGCCCACGTGCAATTAAAGCTGATATTTTTCTGGAAACTGAGGCCATAATGCAGTCTCCACAAAGGCACAGCGAACGCCTGGTGGGGCCGCGCACCGTCGCCCGCTGAGGGAAAACTCCCCGAGGGCGAGGCCGCACCCACTCACCGCCCGGTGGGCCGGGGGTGAAGTGGCGCCCGCAGAAGGACGCGCGGCCCCGCAGCGGCGGCGCGGGCCGGGCAGCCCGTAGCCGTCAGAGCGCACCTGCGCGCACCTGGCAGCTCCCCGCGCGGCGCTTCCTCTCCCGCGCCCGGCCGGGCGGCGGCGCGCCGGCTCGCTGCCCGCGCTCTCGGCCCGCCTCCGCCCGGCGGGCGTGTGAGGCCCGGAGCGGGTCGGACGCCTCCTGCCAGCCGCTCCGCTCGCTCCCGGCCACGGCGCCGAGACTCCGGAGTCCGTGTCTGGTGTGGGACCCACTCGGACACGCGGGCTCGGTTATCCGCTCCAGCGCCGGGGGATTGGGGGGCGGCGGGCACGCGCAGGGGCCGAGGGCGCGCGGGCGCGGAGCCGCGAGGAGTGGGCGTGGCCGCGCGGGGCCGTGACCCCCGCAGGCCGGCGGGGCGGGGCGGGGCAGGGCTGAGCGTCCCGGCTCGGCTTCCCTTCTGGCGCCGGCAGCAGCAGCGGACCGTGACGCCGCCCGGTAAGTGGTGCGTGGTCGCCGGGCCGGCCAGTGACGCCCGACCCGGGCGCGCAGGCCCAGCGCCCGAGCAGGAGGCGGCCGGCGCGGGATGGGGGCGGCGCAGAGCCTCTCCTCCGGCTGCTGCGCCGGGCCCCCGGGCCACAGGTGACCCTCCTGGCCCCTTGGCCACGGGTGACATCCCCCGCCCTTCCAGAGGCCACGGGTGACACTCTCGCCGCGCGACCCACAGGACGCGGGCTCGCGCCGCTGGGCGCCGAGCGTTGGGATCCTGGGAGGGCTGGAGGCGGAGAGGGCAGGGACCCGGTCCTCCTGCGCCTTTTCGCCCGCCGGCCGGCTCGGGACTTGGGCAAATTCTGCAGCACTGTTGGAGGTCGCTGCGGCCTGTGGACACAACCGTGAGGACCACTCCCGATCTTGTTACTGCTCTATTTTTTTAATCAAACTCACCGCGGGCAAAATATTACAAGATTTGATGTTTTCAAGGCAAAGAGGACAAGGGGAAAACTTTAACCGTGTTTGGAGTTTGCTAGATAAAATTGGCATTTAAGTTAGTTTCTTCCTTTTTTCCCTTACAGCTCAGTTTTAGAAAACGTATAGAAAATTAATATTCACATGCTATCAGGAATACTCAGATGGGAGGGGGAAGCTGAGGCAGTCTGGGCACTCTGCTTCCTGGACCTTTGTGCCTGATGACAGGAATGTGCCCCGCCCGACCACGCTGCCTCTTTGCTTCCTGGTGTGGTTTAGGGACTGAAGAGATGAGATCTGTCCTGTTAAGTAACCTTTGGATTAAGGTCCTGAGGACCACGGGGTAGTGCTGGAGCCCGTGATTAACTTGAGTGACTGCTGTTATCAGCATAGATGGGGTGTGTCAGGCTGTTTCATGGCCACCTCTGAGGAACTGCATCTGTCGTGACTTGGTGCCATCACAGAGAAAGGCACTTTTGATCATACTTGACTACAGAAACTAACGATTTAGATTAAATAAGGGCAATTCCAATCCAAGGCATTTCATTACAATTCAGCATATTACAGTTAACTTAGACCAGTAACAGCAGAGTGACATTAGAATGAACAGAATCAACATTCTTTTCTATGTGTCTGATGATAAGGGTACTGAAGTGGACATGTAAGGTCCCACGGAAGACCACACACCTTACATTTCCAAGCTTGCTGGACCCGGGATTAGGCCAAGACATCCGAAGAAAGAATAAAATGTATACAGTAATTCCCCTATTTATATGTTAAGCAATTGCTGCTCAGAGAAGTTACACACACACACACACACACACACACACACACACACACACTGCGTAAGAAAACTAAGGTTAGGGACAAAGCAAGAGCCCAAGTTTCCATTACAACTATTTTTAAATGGTTATTAAATTTTGTAGAAAACGAAGACATCCTTAATAGAAGTTAAAAAGCACAATTATATAGTGACACCTAAAAAAATTATTAAGATGTGATCAGTTGCATAACATCAGTTATGAACATTACCTGCTTAAAGTTACTGGTGATGCTATAGGAAAAAAAATGATGCTAGGATAGATTTGTTTGGACTTGTTTAAAAAAATATATAAAATTGTTCATGAATATCCAGTTTTTATGTCTGTGATTAAATATTGTTTTCATTTTTAAAAGGTATACTGTTTCTAAAGCAGTAAATAATTTCGAAATACCCAATGAATTTTGCATATATGTGTGTACATACATATGGTTATGTGTTTTCATGTATACGTGACGGACACTTGGCTGTCTTATTTACTTCAGCTAAAGAAGCGGGTACTTGGAAAGCCCTTGAACGGTGTCGAGTTTGCAATGTGATCTGTGAAAGATGCGGCCTTGTTACTGGCGCAGCCACTGAATGGGTAATAGGAAGGCCTCGACATAAAAATCTCACTAGATCGTTTATAATTTTTTTTGTGTTTGGAATATCTTAGTGGTAAACTTTAAATTTACCACTAAATTTATTGGTAAATTTAATGGTTTTTCTTTCTTTTTAGGATTAGGATCTCCTTATATATGATCGATTGTTAAGTGTTTACATATTATTCGTTATTGCAAAGTGATCATGAAAATGCTCAAACTCAGGGACCTCCAGGCACCGTGGGGAGGCACTGGGCTGCATGAAGGGATGACAGATCCAGTAGAAGCCCCCCACCCCCAGCTTCCGCCCTGCCTACTTCCAGAACACCACCAGCAGCCAGACTGGAGGGTTCCTCAACCAAAAAGCTACTGATCCCTTGACCACACTGCAGTGAAGCCCTCAGCTGACATGTCCTGCCGTGTCAGCAGAATTTCCAGCATTGTTTTGTGTTTTCCTCATAAGTATGGACTGACGTCCAAGGGTCGTCAGGCATTTTTGGGAAGCCTAGGTATGAAAGAGAGAGACCTAAATAAAATAAAGCAAACACCAACCGCAATAGCAAAAGGACCCCAGGGAAAGACAATGCAGGGAGCAGAAGGGGTTTCGGTGAAAAAAAAAGGAAGGCTGTAAAGAAGGAACATCAGAGAAGAAAGAGTCCTTGAAAATCGAAAGTACAATAGCTTAAGTCAATAAAGCAATCAATAGAGGATTGGAGGAGAAAATCATGAACTGTCTTGCAGAAAATAGAACAAAATGTCATTGTTATGGAAAGTCCAAGAGAGGGAATGGAACCCTCCAACTCGGGGAAGCTGGGGTGGGACAGGGTGGCTAAAGCTCTGGGCTGGTCACCTGTGCATCAAGTAGCCTTGCTTCAAAGTGCCATACAGGTACCATTTCCTGTGTGTGCCACGCATGGAGAAGGTCGGAAAGTCCTGGATGAGGTCAGTCGCAGACTTTTGTACCTGACAAATACCAGGTACAGAAAAAGAACAGAGAGCCAGTCTGGAGGACATGGCTCAGAGATTCAGAGGTATCATGATGTGCAACCATCATAGACCCTGCCCATGTGCCAGTCATATGGAATGGTAGGATAAGGACATTTCCAGAAATACAAGAAATCAGAATATTTGTATTCTGTCTTAGAAAACTATTGAACAATTTGCTCCATCAAAGTAAGGGAGTAAACCATGCAGCAGGAAGATCCTGGAATCCAAACCCAAGGTATTGTTGGCAAAGACGTATCTCGGACAAAACAGCTATGCAGCGCTCTACAGAGCAACGGGTCCAAAGTGGAACCGTTTCAATACCGTGGCTGATAAACAATGGTTGATGGCCACACATACATATTATCAAAGAATAGTAAAATCGCAGCCTAGATGAAAGCTTCTGAGTGCAAGTGTGTTTTAGCAGAGCGAGGTATATCGGACTTTAAATGGCAATCTTATTTACAGCATGATATGTGAGGGACTTAGAAGAAATATCTATCCCAGCTCTGTCACTGGTGTGCCTGACAACAGCAGCAGTATTTCCAGTCAGTGCCAAAACTGCATGTACTCCCCAAATATTCAGATTTTGTGCTTTACAACTCTTCTGCGTTAAAAGGAACCAGAAGAGGGGCTGACACCTCGTCTTTTGACTAGGAAAATCCAAAATGGGCCTGTAAGACCTCCTTGCCATAAAGCAAGAATGTTTGGAAATGGAATAACCAATTTAAAGAGGTTCCTACAAGTCAAGTTAGGGCAATTTGAGCATCAAGAAGAAAACATTATCAGTTAATCGAAATACATTGCTTTTTTAAAAAAATCAAGCCCATTAATAAGTTCAAATGAGGCAAACAAGATAAACTTTAAAAAGGCATGAAAGAATTCAGTGATGTTTGCATTTGTCTAAGATTGCTATGGGAAAAGTTGGTTGTTAGAGGTTCCTAGGGTAACAAGCACAGTAGTTGTACAAACCAACCTAAAGGCCTAAAAATTAAACTAAAAGACCAAGTTTTATGATAGAACTCTGGGCTATGCAACTCAGAGGAAAACTCAAATAATATTTCCTTTTAAGAAAGGACACCAGGCTACGGGAAACTGAAATTTGGTGTTTGGCCAAGGCCTTGTAAAATCCCAGTGAAGGTGGGATTGAAGCTCAAAGCTCCCCTAATTAGTCAAATGTGCTTGGCTACAAAAAGTGGATGTCCTGTGCTGAGAAACAGCTAGGACGTGCAAGGACCATGACTCAAACCTTGTTTTTGCAGAGAAGGAATGAGATTGAGATTAATGTAACCCCTAGGAAACCGTTAAAATACACATTACTATTACCTTAGGAAAGGTATAGAAAGATATAACAAAGATAAAAATAAGTTAAACCCATGATATTAATTAATACCTTTTGCTAGACTTAAGTACAAGTGTAGAAATAAGTTTTGTAGTCATTGTACTGTTTTGTATATTTTTAAAACATGTTTGAAAATCTTAGGAGAGGTTAACCTACTATACTTGTAAATCTTGATTTATTAGATTTATAGAAATTCAAATGTTTACTACAGTTTGTGGAATTCTTGTTTGCCTTAAAAGATGCATAAAAGCATTTAAAAAATCAGACACGTTAAAATATGGATCACTTGAGTCTAGGAGTTTGAGGTTGCTGTGAGCTATGATGATGCCACTGCACCCTAGACAGAGTGAGACCCGGTCTCAACAACAACAACAGCAACAACAAAATTACTGAAAGGGTTTGACTGACCTATGGAACATTTGGGGAATGTTTGTGATAAGTGCACAGAAAACTGAAGAACATGAGAAAAGGCATTCACATAAGGCAAAGCAGCATTAAATGAAAACAGGAAATGGGGTCCTGTTCCGCCCCTCTGGCTTGGCATGGACTACTGTTTAGTTATAATAAAGCAAACGTGTGGATGGAGCAGCGGAAGAGAACCAGATTCCTGGCCCCTAAGTTAGGAAGGCAATAGATAATATCTAATATTGTTAGGTCAAAAATAGCAGTGCGCATGTGTTTAGTAGAAAGATGGAGGTAACATCACAGAAAATAGCAAAAGGACCTGCAACTGACTGCCTCTTGGGAGGGAGCCTGTTATCTTTTGTAATATCTCTTTTAGCATTATTTGATTTTTAAATGTGTTTATATTAATTTCATAGAAAGAAAAATTAACCATAAAACCCCCTAAAATAACACATGCTGTAGAAAATGTGAAAATACAGAAAAATGCAAAAAACCTAAAAATTATCCACTACTCAGAAACATCTGGTATACAGGATATCTTTCCATTCTGCCTATAAATTATACGTACATTTATAGAGTATACACACTTATAGAAATTACATTTATATGTATATTTCATCCAAATTTGCATGGATAAGATTAAATTATACTTCTGGTTTTGTATCTTCTTTTTTCCCACGTAATCCTGTACAGTCCCATGACAATTGATTTTAGTTGTGATTACTTCCCTTAAGATTCCATCGTGGATGTGACAGAATCTAACTGGTTCTCTGTTGTTGGGTATTTAAAGATTTTTTTTTTCCTGTGGCATATGAAGTACTTCAATAGTTATTTTGTGTATAAAATTTTTGTCAGTACCTGTGAGTTTTATCTTCAGTGAAATTCCTAGAAGTGTTATTTTTTATTCAGATGGTATGTTTTCGTGACATTTCCTTTTCTTCCTTCTTTTATTTTACTTTTTTAAACATAATTCTACATTATACTCAGGAAATATTGGTGTCCCAATTTAAAGCATCAGTTGCATAGGATGAGCCGCATTGCCTGTCTTTGTCAGTGTTGGAAATGAATGGTTTTTGTACTTGCGAAGTTCACGGTGTGAAAAGGTATCTTTCATTTGCTTTCCTTGGGGAGGCCGTGTGCCATGGTGATGAAGCGAGTGAACGGCCTCGCTCTGCTGCCTGTAGCCCCCGGTCCTCTGGGCCACTTACAGATTGTTAGAGATAAGGCTCCACATCTTCGCTTTCAGCGCAGAAGTTGTCAGCACCTGCCTCACAGGGTTGTAAGGATCTTTCAAGAAAAGTGCTAATGTGGACCTCGCACATAGAATATTCTAAAAAATTGGTATTTATTATTTTTCTGTGAAATCGAAACTTTTAAATGTAATCATTAGCTATTGTTTTCTCTCTCTTTCATTTGTTTTGGTAATTTGCTAATGTTCTTTGCACATAGTTCTGCTGGGGTCTGTTTTTCCTATCTTTTTGTAGCCCATTGTACTCCATTATTTATTTCCTTGTTTACCAGTTTTGAGAGTATTTCATTGCTTCTGGCTGCTTTTCAGGTAGAACATCAAACTATGCTTTTTTTGTCTCCTGATAATTTTCCTTCTCATTTGTTTCATGAATTGTATTGGCCTTGCCAGAGCTATCAGACCAAAGCAATGCCAAGATGAAATGACAGACATTTTTAACTCAATCTGTTACCAAAAGCTCGGCCACTTGTCCACGAGGCCAAGTTAGAAGAACAAGGACAAATGGTTTGGGAAGCGTTCGGTTTGTTCCAGGTGGGAACCTGAAAAGTATGTATAGGATGGAATGAGGTTAATGGAAAACTGAGGCTTGTAAAACAGTAGCGCGGGAGTCTGGAGAGTCCGTATGTCGTAAACTTAACTGCGCACCGGACAGCTGCAGCCTCTCTCTGTGAGCTAAGCCATCTTACGGGCAAAGTCAGAAGCGTCCCTGTCCCCAGGCCGGGTAAGAGCTTGTGTGACGAGTAGTCCGCAGACACTGGTTTGAGTCTTGACATTAAGGCTGTGTTTCTTGCTTTGGAGTATCTCCTTTTTTATTAATTTTTAACTTAGAAGTTTTCTTGTTTTACCAATTGTTTTTCCTAAAGTTGGTAAGTGGGCAGCTCTTGCTGATCTAGAATCCAAGAATGAGAAATGGGTTGCTTCAGTTTCATGTAGTGGCTACTTTTGTTTATATTGATGTTCTCTACAAAATCCTGGAGTTATTTCTGTATGGCCAAAGAATCCTGTAGATTCAGAAGAATTTTAGTGATGTGTACATTCTATTGTACTTTCATTAAAAATTAGTAATCTTAAGGTGTATACGGAAAGTCTCAGCAAACCAGGAGTGCCGAGAGCCCCAAGTCTTCTCTATAACAAGCAAAGAAGAGTTTGAAAACAAAATATTTAAACAAGGACAGTAAACAAGATTTATCAGGTATATTAGTTATTGTATTAGTTTCCTGTGGCTGTTGAAACAAAGTACCACAAACTCAGTGCCTTAAAACAACAGGTGTTTATTCTCAGAGTTCTGCGGGTGGTGAGTTCAAATCAGCTTTGCTGGGCTGCGGTCCAGGGGCCGCACGAGGTGCTTTTCCTTGCTCTGTGCAGCTGCTGCAGCGCGCTCCGCGCATTTCTTGGCTCAAGGACCCTTCGTCTTCCAAGCCAGCGTCTTGCTTTAGTGTTCATTTTGCTTCTGTCATCTCTCCCTTTTCCTCCCTCTTAGAAGGATACATGTGATCACGTTTCAGAGCAACTTGAGTCATCCAGGATAATCTCCCCATCTCAGCAGCCTTGACTCAGTCATGGCTGCAGAGTCCCTCTTGCCATGCGAGGGGGCGCTCTCAGGTTGCAGGGATCAGGACCCGGTTATCTTTGCGGCCCTCGCTCTGTCAACACAGCTGCGAATGTCAAGGACCGCTCGGTGAAGAAGGGGTAATTCATCACCACCTCACAGGTCCTTCAGTCTGGCGCCTCCTTCCCTCTCCCCGCTAGCCTGGAAATAGCTGCCTGGCTCCTCCCTTCCTGGTTCTGGAGGTTCCCACCCACTGCTCAAGTGAGTGATTCGGAGGCATTCTCTGACTGGGGAAACAGCGATTTAGTAAATATGTGTGGGCCGTGTCAGAGCAGGCAGCTCTGGGCCCCAGAGTCACCCTCCGCCTGCCCTGCCACATTCGTCTGCCCCCTGCGCTGTCTCCCGAGGCTGCAGGCTCTTCTCGAGCAGGAGCCCAGAGGCAAGGCCTTGGCCCTGAGTTAGCTCGTCCACTCCTTGGCCCGGAAATCTCACTTCTCTTCTGTGAACTTCGCCCTCCCCACTGTGAAATGGGGAGTCGATAGTGGGTACCTCTAAAGACCTGATGTGCTTGAACGTTTATGATTCTGTGATCCGACTGGCCCAAAGAGAACCCACCTCACCCTGCCCTGGCCGCCTGGCCGTGTTCCTGCTCTGGGCCCTGGCAGGGCTGCGTGGCCCATTGTCGAGACGCCCGCAGCCTGGCCCCAGCCTTGGAGCCTGCGTCCGGAGGTGGAGGTGGGCACGTGCCCGCTCCCCGGGGTGGAGGCTGCATGGTGAGGTGCCGTGAGTGCACGGCCCAGGTGCCCTTGTGCTCCAGAGTGCGACATGGCGGCTGGCCCGCACAGCAGGAGGTCCTCGGAGCGCAGCTGAGAACTGGGGTTTGCCACCTGCACAGGTCTCCTAGACGGAGGTCTGAGAGTCAGCGGGCGCTTATTCATGAGGCTTGCATGCATCTCTGTGCGTGGCTTGATTTATCATCTTTTATTTTAAGGCTTCAGGCTGCTCTAAAATGGGGTCCTCTCCCACATTATGAAGACATTCAGCCATCTTTTCCTGTGTAACTCTGTGAGTGAATTTAGCATTTTGAATCATTTTCAAATTACAACACCACACTTCTAAGCTCGTACAGCACCCTGAAGAACAGCTGTGGAAGTGAGGTATTGGCTCCGAGGAAGTGACTCCAGCAAAGGGTCTCCTGTGCCCCCTCCCACTCTTTCTCCCTACTCACGGGCAAACGTGCAGGCACATGTCCTCATATGGGGTCATATTCTAAACACGACTGTTCATTTTTTATGCTTAATATTAGAAACGCACAAAATAATTTTGAGGGCCCCAAAAAGAAACGCTCAGAGTGTTGTGTGTGTCGCTGCCTGCTCACTGCACCAGAGTGTCGGTGGTGGCCGTCGGCGGCAGCGTGAACGCGCATCAGCCCGCTGCGTGACGCTCACTGTGAATCTGTCTTTCCAGGGTCCCCACCATGGATGCCCTCACAAAAGCAAATGGCACCTTCGCCTTAAACCTCTTGAAAACCCTGGGTGAAGACAGCTCCAAGAATGTGTTTTTCTCACCCATGAGCATCTCCTCCGCCCTGGCGATGGTCTCCATGGGGGCAAAGGGCAACACGGCTGCCCAGATGGCCCAGGTATGGTTTCAGGGCAAAAGTAAGTACTGTTAATTGCCAATTGGTTCGTCCTCCACACTCCAAGTCCCGAAGGATTGCTCTGGACGGGTAACTGCAGGTGTCACAGAATATGGAGAGCTGACGGGCCCGGACAGGCTACCCCTGGGCAGAGCGCTCTGACCCCTCGGGTGGGAGGGGGGCTTGATTCAGAGGAATGAGTGATTTCATCCCCACCGGGCTTAGCTTGCTCACGAGTTTGTATATAGTTGTAGAGTCACCATTCAGGTTGTGTCCTGTGATATTCTTTGGATATTGTCACCTGCTCTTTGGTTGTTAGAAATTTTTATTTTCTCATTTATGTGTAAAATCCCCGTAGAATGGCACCTGTCAGCCAAAAAATGTTTCCGTAGTGTTTCAGTTATCTGTTGTTGAGTAACCAACATTCCAAAACTTAGTGGCTTGGGATGACACTTTTCTGTTTGTTGATTCTGGGTAGATCGGCTGGTTCCTCTGCTCCGTTTGGTGCTGGGTGGGTCCCTCGTGTGGCTGCTTCAGCGGGGGCTCAGCAGGACACCTCAGGCCCCTTCCCTGTGGCCTTCCTGCTGGGGAAGGCCCTTCCTGGGCCTTCCATATGCATCTCTTTGGCAGGGCGGCTGGGGCTCCCGTAGGCACAGTAACGGAATTCCGAGAGGAAGCTCTCCCAGAGGGCAGGCGGCTGGGAGTGCAAGCGTGACTCAAGCCTTTGCATGTGTCCCGCGTGCTCAGGCCTGCTGCGGCAGGCAGGCACACCTCCAAGCCCAGGGTCCATCTGAGAAGGGCCAAGCAAGGCCACGAACACCACAGGCATGGCTCCTCGGGGCCACCCATCCTGCTGCTGCCTGCCCTCTGGCCTCTAACGGTTCCCAGCTCTCCCAGGACCCTGAAGGCTCATCCCACCCTGGGCTCAGGCTCGGGCTGGAAGTCCAGAAGGAACAGGAGTGGTTGAGGCTCTTCAGCTGCAGCTCCTCCGTGTGGCTCTTTGGGTGCAGAGATTCATGAACTAAAAAGAGACCATTATCTGCCCCCTAACCTCCTCAGACATGCAGTGGTGAGACAGGGTGGGATAACTGCAGTGGACACTCCCTTCGAAAGCCGCGGGGGGCGGTTCAGTGTGGAACGTGCAGGCGTCGTGCTCTGATTCTTTGCGGGAAGGCGTGTAGGTCTGTGCTTTGTCAGGCGTGGCGTAGCGGGCCTTTGGCGCTGCGAAGTCGGTCCTTTTGCGCTGGGATGAGAGCTCACGGCGGGCTGTGCAATGCCCTGACCCGGCTTTACCGTGTTGGTGCTGTTTGAAATGTCTGTCATCTTCAAGGTTCTAAGTGAGAAGAATCTTCAAGAGGTTGATAGTTCATGGAAAGAATTTGAAACTCCAGAGAAAGCTATAAAATAACAAAGCTAGCACATTTTGAGAAATTTCAGGCTACAGCAGAAGCATCAGCAGCACTCACAGCCCTGATGGAGGACAAAAGCGATAAACAGCTGAAGGAGGTTCCGAGGACAGGAGAGTACAAGCAGCCCGCAGAGCCCGGGCTGTAGCTGGCGCTAAACTAGGAGGGGGCTGAACAGAAGAGCCGGATCTCGGCACGGTGTGCTTTTTGTTTCGTATGATTCTCGATCCGTAAGCGGAGCAGAAAAGGCATGAGCAAAAGCAGAAACATGTGAACAGAAATGTAAAGTGAAGACTCGTCCTCTTTCTGGTGACTCCACATTTCCAACCTGTTCTAAGAAACGCGAAATAGAACCGGTAGATAGAGAGGATGAAATTACTGAAAAGAAAGTGGAAAAAAAGCCAAGATTAAAATTAAAGTCGAAGAAGAGAAAGGAGACGAGGTGGTAGAAGAAGAGGAGACGTCTGTGCAGAGAAAGGATAAAAAGAAGCATGTTGAGGAAGAAGCACTTTCAGAGGAAGAGCCGCCCACCAGCACGGAATTCCCAGACCGGAGAAAAAGAAAAAGAACAAGCGCGAGAATGCGGCTCACAGAGGGAGCCGTGGTCCTGTCGGCGGACGCATCGCGGGAGGCGCAGCCGGGAGCGCGCCGGGGTGTGTCTTCCATCAACTCTGCTAACCTCGTCATGTCTTCATTTCCTAGAGTCTTCGATGTGCAAATAGAATTTTGTTTTCATTTTAAAAAGATAGTGAGGGGAGGTATATTAACTTGCTAGGGCTGCCGTAACAGACACCGCAGACTGGGGCTTAAGCCGCAGGAATTCCTTTGTTTCCTCACAGTTCTGGAGGCCAAAAGTCTGAGATCCACGTGTCGGCAGGTTGGTTTCTCCTGAGGCCTCTCTCCTTGGCTGGCAGATGGTGTCTTCTCCCTGTGTCCTCGCGTGGTCCTGCCTCTGTGTGTGTCTGTGTCCTCACCTCCTCTTCTTATGAGGACACTGGTCAGATTGGAGTAGGCCCACCCTAACAGCCTCATTTTAACTTCTATCAAGGCCCTGTCTTCAAATAAAGTCACATTCTGAGACACTGGGGGTTGGGACTTCAACACGTGAATTTGGAGAAACACATTCAGCCCATCACAGGAGGTGGGGAGGGTCGCTGCAGTCACCGCACCACGGCAATTCTGAAACCCAGCCAGGCGCGCGTGGCCGGTCCCCGCAGCCCCAGAGCAGCGGGTGTTCCCTAAGGAGCCTACACAGGGCTCCCCGGAGTCACTGCTCAGCCCTACTGCCCGCCTGCCCTCCGTGTGCCTGGCTCAGGTCTCGGCAGCTCCTTTACTCTCTGTGAGAAATGGCCTGCGCTCGCTGCTCTCGGCCCACCTCCCGCCCGTAGGAAGTGGGGGCCCAGAGGGGCCTCCCCCACTTTGAGCTGTCTCCCCTATTAGTCCAAGCTGTCACAACTCCTTAAACACCACTATGGGATTTCCATCCATCAACCTAAAGTCTGCTTCCCTGGACCAAAGCCACATACGCAAACCTGTTGGGGACAGTGCTCCGTGTTGGAGTCAGGGTGCCGTGGGACTGAGTCCTGGAGATGCTCAGCAGCCCCCTGTCTGGCCCGAGGGTCTCTGAGGCGCTGCCTTAGGGTTAACAAAGTAGATCCGGACCTTGACCCTGAGGCCAGCACCTGGGATTTGACCTTTGCCCTGTGGCTATTTCTTTTAGAACCCTTGGCCACCTGGAGAGGCTGGGAATAAGAAACATTTTTCTTTTCCACCCAGCACGTTCTGCGTTGTAAATAGTTCCTTAAATTCTGCTCGAAAGCGGAACAGTTCCCTCTTAGCTCCTCTTTCTCTTCCCATGTGTCATCCCAGGCAGCTGGAAGAAGCCACGCCCTTCCTGGCCCCTGGCCAGATGCACAGGTTCACAGGGAGGTGGCCCATCGTCCCTGCCACCGCAGGCGCTGTCTGTCCACTGCTGCTGGTGCACACCACGGCCCCTTTCTCCAGCCGCTAGCAGTGATTTCGCCAGCGTCCTTCCACCCTCCGCCGGCTGCCTCCGTCCAAAGCCAGGGCCGCGTATTTTAGGTTTTTGTCATGGTGGAACTCCACTTCTAGATGGCTGCATGTGCCATCTACTGCCACGAAACAAACCATCCCACACTTGGTGGCTGTAAATAACGGTGATTGTTGCTCTGATCCTGCGGCCAGTCCAGGCAGGTCTTCTGCTTCCCATGGTGCTGGCTGGGGTCACTCATGCGGCTGGTTCAGTGGGCAACTGGTTCGCGAAGGCCTCTCTCTCGTCTGGGGCCTCCGTTCTCTTCCAAGCAGCTCTCCCCACATGGCGGCACCTCCTCAGGACGCTCCATGCAGCTTCCCCTCCAGCAGCATAGGTGGGACTCCTTCATCGTGGTGCCTGGGGTTCGAGAGAGCAAATGTGGCAGCTGCCAGGCCGTTTAAAGAGGATCTTGGCCTGGAACAGCATCACTTCTGCTGAACTCTGCTGGTCAGAGCCAGTGGCGGGGCCAGCACAGACCCAGCTGCACTTCCGATGTCAGGAGTGGCCCCCATTTGCAGAGACGGGAGGTCTGGTTGGTGGCCTTGTTTGTAGCCAAACTGCAGAGAGCCCGGGTTTGTGGAGGGGCATTTCTGCTCGTGCCAGTACTGGCAGGGTGCAGGGAGGGAGCTTTCAAGACACTCCTGGTCTTCAGTTGGATGGATCCTTTAAGCGGTAGTAAGGATCTGAACACTTGCTAAGCCGAGTTTGGTGATGTCCCTGTTTCCCGATGTCAGAGCTTACTGAAGTTGTGTGTTTTTATTCTTTTTTGATTTCAGGCACTTTGTTTAACCAACAGCAGCGGAGGTGGAGATGTCCACCAGGGCTTCCAGGCACTTCTCGCCGAAGTGAACAAGACTGGCACTCAGTACTTGCTGAGAACGGCCAACAAGCTCTTTGGGGAAAAGTCTTGTGACTTCCTCTCAGTAAGTCATACTTGCTGCTACTCACTAAAGCAATCAAGGTGGCGGGGTGGCGGTGGGGAGGACACGTGGCACAGCAAGAACCGTGTGGGCTATGAATGTCCTTATACCACACACATGGTTTTGTAATTTGTTTCTTGTCACCTAGCAATGTATCTTAAATTCTTTGCATCTCAGTGTGTGTGGCTCTACCTCATGTTTTTGAACTGTTGTCTTGTGTGCCTAACCATGGACGTACCACAGTGTAGTAAACCTGTCCTTCGCTGGTGGGAATTGAGGTCAAACCCAGTCTGGGCTGTCACAGGCAGTGAGTGTTTTTGCATGTGATTTTGAGCTCATGTGCATGTGTTGCTCCAAGGTGGATTTGTAGAGGGGAGGAAGAAGTGAAGCTTTGAAATTTTAAGAAATGTTGCTGCTCTGCTCTTCAAAATGCTGTTTACATTCCTCCAGGAATATTAGCAGCGTGCTCATTTGCACCCATCATCATCAACACCGCACGCTGGTCACCTTTTATAGTGTGATTTTTAATGAGATTGAACAATTTTCTTATGTTTTTTGAGCATATATGTATTTCTGCAAATTGCCTATTTATCCTTTGCACATTTTTCTATCGGACTGTGTATGCCTTTTTTCTTACTGATTTGTGAGTTGTTTGTATGTTTGGGATATCAATCTTATTCTGTGATTTTTTTTCCATTATTTTGGTTTCAGAATCCACATTAATTGTTTAAAAAAATGGTATAAAGTGAATGTAGACAAGCATGAGGTCATATATTGGTAAGATTTATACTATAGTGTGATCTTTTACAACTTGTTTTACGTATTTTTATTAGTCTTAGCTACTTTCTAGTTATTGTCTTTTCTTAGAGCCATCTATATAAAGAAAAACAAAACTTCCACAAACACAAAGGATTGCTGATTTTCTTTAATTTTCCTTTTTTCTTTGTTGGTAGATTTTTTTTTTTTTTTTTTTTTTTTTGAGACAGAGTCTCACTCTTTTGCGCTGGCTAGAGTGCCATGGCGTCAGCCTAGCTCACAGCAACCTCAAACTCCTGGGCTCAAGCGATCCTCCTGCCTCAGCCTCCCGAGTAGCTGGGACTATAGGCATGTGCCACCATGCCCGGCTAATTTTTTCTATATATTTTTAGTTGTCCAATTAATTTCTTTCTATTTTTAGTAGAGACGGGGTCTCGCTCTTGCTCAGGCTGGTCTTGAACTCCTGAGCTCAAACAATCTGCCTGCCTTGGCCTCCCAGAGTGCTAGGATTACAGGCGTGAGCCACCGCACCCGGCCTGTTGGTAGATACTTTAAGAAAAAGAAAAATATTAAAATGTTGTTTTGATATTATAATATAAAATAAAGAGATCAGAAACAGTCAGTTCTTTCTCATTAATTTAGTGTTACAAGAATCCAGTATCAAGCACAACATATAATTAGATATGTCTTTAGTGTGATAATTCGTTGCTTATAAAATAGTAACAAATAGCAGACAGTTATTTTCAAATGTGTTTAAAAGTTGTAAAAATGATCCAAGGGTATGCCAAGTTACCAATATGTGAGTGACCAGTTTACTTCCAGACTATTTTCTTAGACTGAGAGATTTAAAGGTTTTTCCAAAGCATCGATCAAGAAGCAGTGCAGTGAAATTGGCAAAGCACACACCCCGTGAGGCTTAAATGAAATGCTCTGTGAGGTTCGCCTTGTGCAGTGCCTGCCCCGCACTGAGACTTCAGCAGTGTCACATGAGACAGTAACAATGAAAGTAATCCATCTGGTCCTCGAAGTAACCCTCTGAGGTGTAGCTAGCGCCGTCTCCTCATGGACAGGGGAGGACGAGGAGGCACAGAGAGACCCTTCGACTTTTCTAAGGCCCCGGCGCTAATGTGCTGTAGAACTTGTCTCTGATGCTGCACTGCAGGAGAAACGTGAGCTCCTGGAATATAAACGTGATTCTCGAAAGGGGAACTCAGTATTTAGCCATGAGCTATTCAAATGAAGGTTTGGGAAATCATCCCAGAGTACGCTGTCAACATAACTAGTCACTCCAGCGCACTTATTTTCCACCACATTTTCAGCTTTTATATGACATAACTAGGTGTTCATTAACATCATTTCATAGAATACGCTAGCAAATTACAGTTTGAACTTTTTTTGAGAGTTGTTAACAGTCTAAAACTGAGCCATCCGTCACGGCAGCCACTGGGCACAGGCAGCTATTTGAATTCCAGTGCAGCTAATTAATACAGAATGAAACGACATTGCGTCCCTCAGCCGCGCTGGTGCCTCAGCCGCACTCGCAGCCTCCTGTGCCGGGAGCCCCCGACCCTCCGCAGGTGTCCTCACAGAAAGCTGCCTGGGGAGGTGCTGCTGGGTGGGGGCGCTGCGCGGAATCACCCATTCCCCATCCTGCGGAGCCGTAGAGCCTGGCTACTGTGTCGCTCTGCGGTACAGAGCGAGCGGCGGCCCTTGCTGGGCTGACCCCACCCAGCTCGTGCAAGGGTTTATCATCAGGTGCCACACAGTGTAACTGCAGCTGGTCACCATGTCCTGTCAGCTACCTCCTTGATGCAAGGTTACTCCCGTTAAGTATCCAGCAGTTCGCGAAGTTTATTTGATATTCATACCATGATTTGATTTACTTTATAAGCTAGGGTTAAATATAGCTAAAGGCTGGGCACTGTGGCTCACGCCTGTAATCCTAGCACTCTGGCAGGCTGAGGCGGAAGGATCACTTGAGGCCAGGAGTTTGAGACCATCCTGAGCAAGAGTGAGACCCTGTCTCCACAAAAAATTTAAAAATTATCCAGGTGTGGTAGCGTGTGCCTATAGTCCGAGGTACTCGAGAGGCTGAGGCAGGAGGATCACTTGAGGCCAGGAGCTCTAGACCGACCTGAGCAAGAGTGAGATCCCATGTTTACATAAATATAGAAAAATTTAGCTAAATGTGGTGGCGCGTGCCTGTAGTCCCGGCTACTCAGGAGGCCGAGGCAGGAGGATCGCTTGAGCCCAGGAATTTGAGGTTGCTGTGAGCTATGATGATGCCACGGCACTCCAGCCCAGACAATAGAGCCCAGTCTCGAAATAAAAGCTAAAAACTAAAAAGTTGGATTTTAGGTTAATTCCTTCTATTTATTTGTAAATTACACATGTAAATCATCAAGTTATTGATTCTCTGATTTGGCACAATGAAGAAGTAAGCTGTTGGTGTTCTTTACTTTAGTAGCCATGCAGTTATGTTGCTCTGTCTCTCCTAGTCTTTTAAAGATTCCTGCCACAAATTCTACCAAGCAGAGATGGGAGAGCTCGACTTTATCAATGCTACAGAGGAGTCTAGAAAACATATAAACACCTGGGTGGCGGAAAAGACAGAAGGTGAAAATACATTCTTATTCTGTTTGTAATAGTATCTCAATCAGTCTTACTGTCATTTCCTTCACAAGACTGTCACATGTAAACAGGAATGATTATGTTTCTCTAGATAACTGTAAACTTTAAAAATCTGCTTCTGAATTGTTATCAGTATTTGACATTTTGAAACTTTAGAATGTATGACATTTTCTGCAGCTTTTCCCTACTTTCATCAATGTACCTACGATGCCTCTCAGGTAGTTGGTATACTTCTTCTGGAACAATCTACATTTTTAATATTTTGGGGGGGGTGTTAATGTTAGTTAGTATAGCCTTTCCTTTCACAAATAGCATGAAAAGATTCTTGTTACGCGTCATGAGCTGTCTCCCTCTGTGGTACAGCTCACGCACGGCGGTTTTCATGCTTTGCTGCGGGACGCTTGGCCATGCCCTCGTCTACCTGCAGTTCTTAAACTGTTCTGTAGGCTCGTAACACCTTGTAACCACCTGTCTTTTTGACAGTCTTTTAAGTTCCTGTCTTTAAGTCATAGGCACCAGTTGTTCCTTTGTATCTCCTACGTTGTGAATTCATCCTGCACGTGTTAACATCTGCTTGTTCGCTTTGTGTGTTTTATTCAAATGATGGTGTTTTTTTTACCAGACCTTTTACGGTTTTTGTTGCTTTATTTTAAGGACAAGTATCCCTTTACATTTGAGGGACAGTGAAACTGGTTATCCACGTACCTCACTAATTAAGGAGACGGCCCGGTTCCAATGTCGTTCCTGAGGTGTCGTGCACCAGCAAACTCAAAATTTGAACTAAGGAGCTCTTTAATTCTTCCTTTTAGGTAAAATTGCAGAGCTCCTGTCCCCAGATTCCGTGAATTCATTGACTAATCTGATTCTCGTGAATGCCATCTACTTCAAAGGAAACTGGGATAAACAGTTTAACAAAGAGCAGACCAAGGAGAGGCCATTTAAAGTCAGCAAGGTGAGTATTGTGCAAATAGCAAAGGAGATTCTTGGCTGGTTCACCCCGCTTTCCAAAACACGGGACCAGTCCACCTCAAGGAACTGTGCAGCTGGTGGCCCGGACTCCCCGCGGCCTTGGGGCCTTTCTGTCACCCTGCTCCTCCCCCACGTGTCCCCGCATGCTCTGGGCTTGCGTCCGGCCCCAGCCCGGCACCTGCCCTCCTGCCACCTACGTGGCACGCCTGGTGGTGTCGCTCTTGGCTTAATTAAGGTTCTGAAGTTCAAACTCCTTTAAAATACGGTGCCTGAGGCTTTTGGTGGGCCCGGATCCCGCCGATTTCCCTCCACCTCTCTAGCTTTATTCCCACCAGGACCCAGGCTCTGCGGGGCGTCCCCTTTCCAGCCCTTGCCCTTCCTAGGCCCCCTCTGAGCCGCCGCCGCGCCCTGCCCGTCTTCCCCAGACTTGCCGGGCTGAGCCTCCCGCGGGCGCCTGGGCACAGCGGGCAGGTGGCGCTGCCTGAATGGCAAACCGAGGAGCGATACTCAGCCTCCTCTTGACAGTAAAGGCACCATAAGTACAGATTTTTGTTTTCAAACAAACAAAAGGACACGTAGGTGGGTGCTGAGTTTAACCACCTTTAGCTGGGAAGATGCTGTTTGCTAATGGTGCTTCCTCTTTCTCTCACCAAATCCAGTTTATTCTTGCGCGTTTGTTCGTCTTTAATTATAGAGCTCTTTGCGCCTGCACAAATGCAGTGTATTCCTGATCACTCATTAGCTCTTCCAGGCCAACTTGAGAGCGACCTTTCAGTTCTTCAAGAAATGTATATTTCCTTTCGAACTTTATTCTGAAATGAATTGTCCAATTTTCCCCTGGCAAATTTCTGTCTCTCCCTGAAATTAATCTTTAACAAGACGGATGTGATAACAGAAACCCCAGCTCTCTGTAGTTTGGCTCACAGACGTTCACCTGGAGCTGGGGCAGACCCAGGCTGACCTGGCGCTGGCGGCCGGCCCCAGGGGCCGCCTCACTCTCCCTGCTCCACCGTCCCCAGCACAGGTCCTTCTTCCTCATGTCACCAGATGGCCCAGACCACTGCAGTCCAGGCAGCAAGGAAGGACAGGGACAGAGCGGACCGGGCCTAAGCCTTCTCCCCTCAGAGGTTCTGCCATTGTATTCAGAGAGGGAAACCCTCCTTCTGTATGGCATAGGCCAGAACTATTTCGTGTGGGCTGGGGACGGGTCCTCTCTTGCTTTCTCATCTCTGCAGTGGAGAAAGAGGGGGAGGGGCTGCAGTGTTGGGTGCCCCAGCCTATGGGGGGGCTTGCCCCCAAGGGCACAGATTGTGAATTGATATGCATTTTCATTTTAATTTCTTGTTGCTAAATGACATAGAATTGATCTACACAATTGCATATTTAGTGAATCGTCCAGTAACTAAGATCGGATCCTTTTATATTACAAAATTGGAGACTTTGGGCCCTGGAGGGGTTTGGGGAGCAATTGTCTAAGGCAGGGGTCAGCAAACTACAGCCTGCAGCCAAAGCTAGCCCACTGCCTATTTTTTTAGATCAAGCTTTATTGGAATAAAGCCACACTTACACATTTCATCCTACAATGGCAGGTGAGTAGTTGTGGCAGAAACTGTGTGTGGCCACAAAACCAAAAAATATTTACTCTCTGGCCAGTCAAGGAAAAAGCGTGCTGGTCACTGGCCAAGGAAGAGAGTGGGGCAGCCGAGGCCAGGGGCTGCTCAGGCCAGCTCAGGCCAGCCTCGGCAAGGTGAAGGCAGGAAGCTACGGCAGCAGCGTCTGTGGTGTGTTCCATTTCATACACAGTAACATGCTATACCAGAGACATGGAGACTACACAGTGCCTTCGACTGTGCCTGTCGCGGGGCATTTAGTAAATTCAGAGAGGCGCTAGGAGCCAGGAACCGAGGAGGACTGTTGGATGGGGTATGCCACCATCCTCCAGTTTTTCTCCCTGTCTGGCTGGGGATGCGCTGGCAACCATTGCAGCTTTTTCTAGTAAGCTGTGTGAATTTTACCTGTTTATTCATTTATGCAGCAGAAGTTGATTGAGGGCCAGGCACTGTGCTAGGCGCTGTGACAGCCGTGTGCCAAGCCCGAGAAGCACGCCTGCGCTCTCAAAGCTCGCGTCTCCCTGGGGGAGAGACAGCGAGCCCAGCCAGGAACACGGGAGCGTGTCAGACAGTGGTGGATGCTACAGAGGGGTCGGCGGTCATGTTTGGGGTGGGGGCGTTGTTGCAGGTGAGAGCTACTAAGGAAGCCTTCCCTGCCAAGGCAGTGTGTGAGCACAGACCAGAAAGAGGCCGGGGGAGAGGAGGGAGGCACTGGATGCGGAGCGAGCCGGGTTTGCCCCCGAACCACCAAGAGGCCCCTGCGACTGCAGCCGCCGAACGAAGGGAGAGGGAGGGGGACGAGCTCTTGTTGCAATCACAGGTCGTTTTAAGGACTTGGGCTCCTGCTACGAGTTGGGGGCAGCCAGGGAAGGGTGTCCAGCCGAAGAGCCACGTGGTCTGGCTGCTGTGTGGAGAACAATCGCAGGATTGCGTTGTGATACTCCAGGGCCAGGCTGCTAGCCGTGGAGGTAGAAAGGGCATGTCAGATTTGGGTAATATTTTAGAGGTGGAGCCAATATGATTTGCTAATGAGTCAGCCGTGGGTGCCTGAGACAGACAGGAGTCCAGGGCCCTCCCAGGCTTCTGACTGCTGGACGGTGGTGCCCTCAGCTGGGAGGGGCAGAGTTGTGGATGGAGCAGACTTGGAAGGGAGTCTTTGGAGCCCAGTGTCACAGGCAACACCGGGAGTTTCCTTTATGTCCAAATGTGCGTGGCAAGTGGGCAGTAAAATATCAGAGTCCCACGTGCAGAGGAGAGGTCCATGCCAGGGATGTACATTTGAGAATTATGTTTAAAGTCAGGAGACTGAGATCACCAAGAGAAAAGAAGTGTCGGGTTTGCCCCCAGGCACCATGGCGTCTGGGGGGTGAGGAGATGAACACGTGCCAGCAGAGCGGGGTGGCCAGGGTGTCCTGGAGGCTGGGGACCAAGTGTTCCTAGGGGCCGCTCCGTCGGATTTGCCCAGTGTGTCAGCTGGATCTTGTTTCAGCTTAATGTTTGTCTGTTTCCTTTGTAGAGCGAGAGGAAACCCGTGCAAATGATGTTTCAGAAATCTACTTTTAGCATCACCTATGTAGGAGAAATATTCACCCAAATTCTGGTGCTTCCCTATGTGGGCAAGGAGCTGAATATGGTCATCATGCTCCCGGACGAGAACAGCGACCTGATGACGGTAACAGCGCAGCTGCGGCGGGCGCGCTGGCGACGGCTGGCGCCGCTCCGCTGGGGGGCTCCGCCAGCTGTTGAACTGCTTCGCGCGTTAGCGCCGTCGCCCCCGCAGCCACCCCGCCAGGCGGCACGGCGTTCCCATCGCGGCCGCCGGCTTTAAGGTCTTCTGCTCTCTCCTGCTAGGTGGAAAAAGAAATCACTTACGAGAAGTTCGTGGAGTGGACGAGGCCAGACGTGATGGACGAGGAGGAGGTGGAAGTGTTCCTCCCCAGGTTCAAGCTGGAGGAGAACTACGACATGGAGGATGTCCTCCGCAGCCTGGGTGTGACCGACGCCTTCGAGCAGGCCAGGGCGGACTTTTCCGGAATGTCATCCAAGAGAGATCTGTTTCTGTCCAAGGTCGTGCACAAGTCCTTCGTGGAGGTCAACGAGGAGGGCACAGAGGCTGCGGCTGCCACGGCCGCCGTCATGATGTTGCGGTGCGCCAGAATCACCCCCAGGTTCTGTGCCGACCGCCCCTTCCTCTTCTTCATCCAGCACAGGGGGACCCGCGGGATCCTGTTCTGTGGCCGCTTCTCCTCCCCGTGAGCACGTGGCCGGCGCGCGTGCAGCCCTGCCCTCTCTCCTGCTGACCCGCTTCCCTCTGACACTCCACACTACGCCTGTGTCCCAAGTGACCTTATCTGTGCAGCACTGACAGCTCGGAAATAAAGGGCCTCATTGTGGAATCTCAAGTCTAGAACTCTGTGTGTTTGTGTGTCTGCAAGTGAGATGTTTTTCTCTAGGATCTGGGTCACTTGGCAGGGGCAGCACTGGCTGCTGAGCTCACCCCTGCTGGGGACGAGGTGTCCCCCGCCCCTACAGCCGGGAGGACCCCGCAGCTTCACTGTGGGCAGACAGCTGTCCCCTCGGTCCACCGTGCAACTCGGACGAGAGAGACTCTTGGAGAGAGAGAGAGAGAGAGAGAGAGAGTGCTTCTCCTCCTCTCTACCCATGGCGTCAAAGTCTCACCCACTTCCCAGGAGAGGACAGAGTGAAGTGGGAGCTGCAAGGAGGACGGGCAGCACGTGGGAATCCCTCCGCAGGAGCGAGCGGGGCGGTGGGGAGAGCGGTGACTCAGACCAGGGAGAAATCAGTCCCCTTCCCCACGGCGTTTCTGCCTCCCTGGGACCAGTGGGTCACATACGTATTCAAATGCACACTGCACACCTTCCCCGAAAATGTCAAATTACTGCCAAGGCGCAGAGATGATTAGAATGTCCGTTCACAGTAACGTAGTTCACAACAGCCTCATGAGTCAGCACCAGATGACCTTGTTTCACTGCAAGTATTACGAACGGAAACAAGCGCGGCTACGGGCTCTGGGCCCACGTGTGTTACTTGCTGGAAACGTGATCGCTACACTCAGCAACATGGGAGCAAATAACGGGCAGGTTCAAGTGCAGGAGCTGTGCTTTTCCCAGGGCCAGCAGGAAGGACTCCTCCCCAGGCCCATGTGCCAGCAGCGGGAGCCCAGCCCTCCGACTTACCTGGTGCAACTCATAATCCCACTCCACGGGGTCCACTGTCCCCTTGAATCCAGGCCACGGTGACACTGGGGAGCGGCGGGAGATGTGGCCATGACAAGCAGGAGGGGAAAGGGAGGAGCCAGGGCTTGTACTTTGTCTTTCAGCCTTCTCCCTCCTCTGCATGGTACTCCTGGTATTTTTTTAAAGAACTAGGACAAGGGGGCTTGAACAAGGACTCCAGGGTGGGGCTCGACCCCGCCATGTGATGCTCCAGGCTCTGCAGAGAGCACCTCCGATCATGGCTGGCAGCGACGGCCTGCTGTCCTGTTCCTGGAAAGGCGTCACAGAGGGTCGCTCAGGGGCAGGGGCGGAGGGTGCGGTGAGTGGAACAGTCGCTAACCGTCCAGGCCTCCCGGGGCTCGTCATCCCTTCTCCTGGGACCGTATCGTAGTGAGTTATGAAGATGATGCTGGCGGCCCTGTCTGTTCCAGGCTGTGACACACAACAGGCGCTCTGCTCTGAGAGGCTCTTTGGTCCTCACTGAGATGCTGCCCTTTAGCAGTATCTAAACTTCCGTTTCCCTCCAGTGTAAGGTGAGACTGGGTATGGCCCCAGTGGCCAGGACACAGGCTGGACCCTGCTGTGCTGGGGCGCGCCCATGGCAGACACACCGCCGGCCGCCCCGCAGCTGCAGCCCTGGAAGGCTCTGGCAAGACTTTAATTTGAGGACAACTGTTCCAGAATAAGTGACCTGTTATGTGTTGGGTGGGTTGTGTAAACTATGCTGCTATTACATTTTCTTGGTTGAAGAATTTGCGTGGGTTGGGCTGCTGTTCTATATTTACAGAGTGGCCTTCATGCTTTGTTTTTGTTTTAATTTTTAAATTTGAGACACTCCCTCTTGAAACGATATTTTAGCAGGAAGCTTAAAACAAAATATCTAACAGTGGAGATGCTCTGTTCGAAAGAGTCGTTCTCCCTGCCCTTCCCTCCCTGCTCAGGGCTTTTTCCCCCCCCCCGCTGTGCCCCGGAGAGGCTCAGCTGGCCCCACTGAAGTTTATAAACAGATCCGCCCATTTATAAAAGTCAGCACGTGCATGACGGTCCTTATCTCTGGGTGGAGTTCCCAGTCATTTTTGTTTTGCTTATTTTATAATTTTCCAAACTGGAACATGTATTTCTCGTGTGGCTATTAAAAATATTTGATCAAAAGGATACATGCATATGAAGAAAAACAGAATAACAAAATAGAAAAAACTATAATAGCTTCTACGGTTATTGGATTATGGATGATTTGTGGATTCATTTCCTGAAATGCCCTCAGTAACATTTGTAACTGCAAAGAGACTCAGGGGAACAGAGGTGCATTGATGAATTTTAATATTTTATTGAGTAATAACCCAGCCAAAAAGAACCCTGCTATGATTAAGTAAGGCTTAATAGAAAGAAAGAATTAATGCTGGGCTTATAATAATTTGCTAAAATTATAATAACCAATAGTAAGCTGTAGTAACTTTTGATTTAGTAATGGAGCTTCTTTCGGGTACATCTTTTCCTTCCACTTTCCAGGAAACAAATGGGTGAATGCTGGGCTCTCACCTGGGAGCAGGCCTCGTAGACCAAGAGATGCTCTGGCTGGACCCAAATCAATGCCTCTAACCCCAAGTGCCCACTTGGATGCAGGCTTCGTATGAGGCGTCCCTGCCAAGGCCGCCCTGGGCAGCTCCCCAGCCCAGTTTCAGCAACTCCGCTGGAAAACGGCGTATCTCTGCGGACTCTCCCTGACTTACAGTAATTTTCTCTCCCACGTAGCCCTGTTTTATGTCTCAAACAAACCCTTCAGGTTTGGTGAACTCTGCCCAGCTGTTTCCACATGACACTGTCAACGGAAAAGAACCCAAACTCTGTAAAATAATTTAAAGCGGTTGATTCTGAGCTGATCATGACCCGGAGCCACACCTGCGAAGCCTCAGGCACGTGGTCTCATGTGGCTGGGTTACATTTGGTTTTATACATCTCAGGGAGACAGGTATTACATGTAAAGTCATAAATCAATACATGGAACTCGTACATCGGTTTGGCCGGAAAAGGTAGGACATCTTGAATTGGGGGATTACAGGCTGTATAGATGGATTTAAAGATTCTTTGATTTTTGATTGCTTTAAGAAATGAAGCTTTGTCTAAAGGCTTGGAATGTTTTAAGATAAATAAGGAAGTTTGTTAATCGGGGACAAGCCACTGGACGTATGCCAGACAGAGACCTAGGCTCAAGTGATCCGTTTCGTAAACCTGCAGACGTGCTTTAAGCTTTGTCTTGTATAAACTTAGGCGTGTTAATAAGTTACAGAGGATGTTGGCAAGAAGGGAGGGGGCCATGATGAGGCACGTCCGACCCCCCTCCCCATGGCCAGCAACTCAACTCAACTTCAGGGTGTTTCTGGGTTTCCCTTGGCCAGCAAGGGTCCATTCAGTCAGCCGGGGAGCTTAAGATATTATTTTTAATTCACAACATGGTGACAAAAATATTATTTTTATTTACAGAGAACTACATTCTTAATTCATAGAACATTGCTTATAAGTTGTATTAATGACACCAAACCGAGACAACTAGCAGCAGCCGGGGACGTTATACATAATATATATATTAGATGTTATACATAACATACGTAGGGGTCAAGAACACAGACTCTGTAATCAAAGCTGAGGTCCCAGCCTCGACTTCTTCAGTGGCAACGACCTATGGGATGTGGAGCAAACTCAGTCTCCCCATGTCGGTGTGGTAACGGCCACACGACCTGGCACGCCGTCGTGAGGGTCAGGTGAGATGACGCAGGCGAAGTACTGAGAACAGGGCCTGGCCCGGGGGAGCGTCGGCCATGGCTGCACTAGGGGAGGGAACAGCAAGCAGGTCTCTGGGCCCTGCAGCGGTCCGGTTGCTGAGGGCCCCCAGGACCGGCTACTTTGTGAATAAACCAGTGTATTAGTTTCCTATTGCTGGCATAACAAATCACCACAAACTTAGTGACTGAAAACCACCCACCTTTATATCCTACAATTCTGGAAGTCAGCAGTCCACAGTGGGTCTGCAGGGCTGGATCCATTTCCCGGGAGAACCCGTTTACTCGCCTTTGCCAGCTTCTAGAGGCTGCCAGCACCCCTCGTCTCATTACTGGCATCACTCTGACCTCTGCTTCCGTCCTTACGTCTTCTTCTCTGACCTGACCCTCCTGCCTGTCTCTCATGAGGGCCTTGCGACTACACTGAGCTCGCCCGGATAACACGATCGTCTCCACGTCTCAACACTCTTAATCCAAAGATCATGTCTGCAAATTCCCTTTTGCCATGGGGGTGACACAGTCACAGGTTGAGGGAT